AAAAAACAGATAAATTGGACATCATCAAAATTAAGAACTTTTGTGCTTCAAAGGACACCATCTTAACTGGGAGCAATAAAGTGAAAAGACAACCCACAGAATGGGAGAAAGATTTTGTAAATCATATATCTGACAACGGAAGTGTATCTAGAATATAAATATAAAGAATTTTTAGGCTTAATAATAAAATGACAACTCAATTTTAAAATGGGCAAAGGATCTGAATAGACATTTCTCCAAAGAAGATAGGCAAATGTCAAATAAGCCCTTGAGAAGAGGATCAACATCATTAGCTATCAGGGAAATGCAAATCAAAACCACAATGAAAAGCCACTTCATATCCATTAGCATGGTTGTAATCAGAAAGACAGATAATAACAACTGTTGACAGGGATGTGGAGAAATTGGAACCCTCACACACTGCTGGTGGGAATGTAAAATAGAGTAGACCCTGTGGAAGACAATCTAGCAATTCCTCAAACGGTTAAACATCGACCCAGCAAATCCAATTCCAGGTGTATACCCAAAAGAATTGAAAACATCTGTCCACACAAATTTGCACATAATGTTCACAGAAGTATTAGTCATAGTAGCCAAAAAGTGGAAACAATGCAAACGTCAGTCAACAGATGAATGGATAAACAAATTGGGGTATATCCATACAGTGCAATACTATTTGACGATAAAAATAATGAAATACTACTGGCATGCTACAACATGGATGGACTCTGAAAACACTAGGCTAAGTGAAAGAAGCCACACACAAAAGATATATGATTGTATGATTCCATTTAAATGAAATGTCCAGAATATGCAAATCTATAGAGACAGAAAGATTAATAGTTGCTTAGTGTGGGAGGATGGGGGACTTGGGGGTGATCGCTAAAGGTTTCTTTTGGAGTGATGAAATTGTTCTAAAACTGAGTGTGGTGATGTCCGCATCTCTGTGAATCTATTAAAAACCATTCAATTGGTACACTTTAAATGGGTGAACTGTATGGTATGTGAGTTATATCCAATAAATCTGTTACCAAAAGATACAATAATAAACCCTTTATGTGTTAGCATAACATATTTTTATGAAAATCACTATATTTTCCAAATCAAAGAAATTTTATAAGAATGGCGTTGTTCTTTTTTTTTTTTTTTGCAAATCTCTTTAATGTAGGCTTAATGGAGGACTACAGGTTCTCATCTGTGCTTTGGCATTCAATCTGTTACACGTCATGTAACCTTTGGAATATCCCACAGGGACTTCCAAGAACCCCAGACTACACTTTGAGGACCATTTGCCTACTGTAAAATTCATATTTTTCCTCTTGTAATTAATAAATGTATTGTGGGGAAATATGTACTTTGGGAATATGTAAATACTAGTTCCTTGTTAAACTTCCACCCTCCGGTCTTAGCGGCCATTGATAATTTTTGCCCGAATCAATTATTACTTACGATGGTCGCCAAAGGGTGATTTTCCGCATCCTTCCTTCTGCATTTATTAGCTGGCATTCTACTGTAAGAGCTTTCCCATCTCCCCATTTACTTACTTTCATCACTATCGATCATGGCTTCTTATTTTACTCAGTTATAATCTGTTATTATCATTATTTAGTTTGAATCAAATTGACCCAGCTTTGGGGTAGGTCATTTTAAAGTTTCTGTTAAGTCCACAGGAAATTTCCTTCCGCTGGCTAACGAAAGTGACGGGCCTAATGATGCATTTAAATGACCGCTTCCGTAGTAAGTCAGAAAGAGAAAAACAAATATCGTATATTAACGCATATACGTGGAACCTAGAAAAATGGCACAGATGAAACGGTTTGCCCGGCAGAAATAGAGACATAGGTGTCGAGAACAAACGTATGGACACCAAGGGGAGGAAGTGGCAGAGGGGTGGTGGAGTGGTGGTGGTGAGATGAATTGGGAGATTGGGATTGACATATATACACTAATATGTATAAAACAGATAACTAATAAGAACCTGTTGTATAAAAAATAAATAAAATTAAAAAAAAATTTTAATGACCGCTTCCGGGCTTCCCTGGTGGCGCAGTGGTTGAGGGTCCGCCTGCCGATGCAGGGGACACGGGTTCGTGCCCCGGTCCGGGAAGATCCCACATGCCGCGGAGCGGCTAGGCTCGTGAGCCATGGCTGCTGAGCCCGTGCGTCCGGAGCCTATTCTCCGCAACGGGAGAGGCCACAACAGTGAGAGGCCCTCGTACCGTAAAAAAAAAAAAAAAAAGACCGCTTCCGCTCAGTGAGCTCAGACTCAAATCCTGGATCAGGTCTGGGGTTCTCAAGCCCCCCAAATCTCTTCTTCTCTGAGGGTCCACCGCCCCGGAGGCGACCCCCCCACCCGCACCGTCCAAGCCTCAGGTCAGATCAAAGCTCAGTCCCCGGCTGCCGCAGCCCAATCCTGGGCTTGCCCCGCCTCTTTCTCCAGCCCTGGCCCCGCCTCCCAGCGCCGATTGGTCCGGCCGCCAGCTAGGCACCGCGCACGGAAGACCCGGAGAAGTGGGGTTTGCCCAAAGAATGGGCTCCCCGAGGCCCCGCTGCGCATGCTTGCTAGGAACCCTCTAGTGCGCTCCTAGAGGCCGGCTCCCCCGCGGGGCGCTGCGCGCTCCCTACGGCCAGCGGGGCAGCGCGCGCGGCACGGAGCTCGCTCCCGAGAGGGCAGGTGGGGGCGGGGAGTGGGCACCCGGGTTGCGGTGGCCGGAGGGGCCTGGGCCGCGAGGTCGGCGCCTGTGGCTGCGGCGGCCCGAGGCCAGAGGACCCGCCGCGGCTCGGTCTCCGGAGAGTGAGGGCCCCGCTGCCGTCGCCGCCCGGCCGGTGCCCGGTGAGGACGGGCCCCAGCGGGTCAGGGAGGGTCTCGGGTCACTCGGCGTGGCCGCGCCCCCAGCCGGGCTCTCCCGGGGGTCCCCAGGACTGCTGATGCTGCGGAGGGGGGTGTCCCCGGACTCTGCATCTCGGCGCTCAGGCAGCCTCCTTGTCCTTCACCTGCAATTCGCAGCCTCCCTTCTCCTCGTTCCTCCTCACCCCCCTCCACCCACCAGACCCCGGGACTGAGCCCTCACACCCCAAGTCAGGGAGCCCCACATGGGTTTGCCTTTCCTTTACCGTGTCCGCCCCACCCAGTGCTGCCCCCGCCCTGGCATTCACCCCAGCCCCATCCAGTCTTTGTGCCTCTGGAGGTCCCAGTGACCTTGCACTTTTTGCTGTCGTTACACCTACTTCCACTCCTGCATACCTAGATTACCTGTTGGGGCTTTCAAACTTTTTTGACTCAACCTACAGTGAGAAATATATTTTACACGCCTGTAGATGCAGATTACTGAGCGATAACTTTAAAGGGAGATTTTTACCCCAATCTCACATGACGCAGCCAGATCTACTCTACGTGGGTTCTAATTCCAACCTATCCTATCCTGTCCTGTCCTGTCCTATTCTATTCTATTCTGTTCTGTTCTTTCCATTCCAAAAGTCTGTTGCTAACCCATTAAACTGATTTCAGGACCTAAAGAGTCTGACCACAGTTTGAAGCCCTTGCTTTAACGACCAGTCTTTTACTTCCGTTACCCCTTACCTTTGGAGGATGCAGAGGTCCAATAACAGATAATCATGTGTAAACTTAAATTCCAAAGAAAGGGTATATTTTTATTATTTTGACATTAATGCTTTTCGGGGCCAAAATCATCTCCAGGACTTGGTGCGATTCAGGCAGGTTTACCTTGTTCCTCTTCCCAAAAGCTCCCAGTCGGACTCGGGGAAGAGTTCGTATGTGGAGGCTAGATTATAGAGCGTTTATAATGGAGACGGACACTACTTTTATCGGAGAGGGAAATGTTTCAGCTTTAGGAACTCAGCACTGCGTAGGGAGAATCGGAACAGCTGGATGCCGGGCAGAAAAGCCATTTAGGAGGTGGTGGGTATCAAAGCCTTGAGGTAATGTGGGGTGGGAAGGCGTGGAAGATGGTGTGACCAGGTGCCCAGAGATGTGAGGACGAATTAGGCCTGATATGGGAGGCATGGAAATAGCCATGATTGTGCTCTAGGGGCGTTGGGGGATCTGGGGCTGGGAGTACTATTAGCTGGAATCTCCCTTTCTGTGTCCTCTGCCTCTAAGTTGCTTTGGAGCAGTGGTTCTCAAGCGACATGCAGCAATGTTGGTTGTCAGGATTTGGTGGCTGCTACTGGCATCTCGCAGGCAGAGGCCAGGGATGCTGCTAAACATCCTTCATTTCACAGGACAACCCCCCACAACAAAGAATTATCTGGTGCAAAATGTCAGTGGTGCCAAGGTTGAGAAGCCCTGCTTTGGAATAGAATTATTATTTTATTTTATTTTATTTATTTATTTTTGTCTGCCTTCGGTCTTCATTGCTGCGGGCGGGCTTTCTCTAGTTGTGGTGAGCGGGGGCTACTCTTTGTTGCGGTGCGCGGGCTTCTCATTGCAGTGGCTTCTCTTGTTTTGGAGCACTGGCTCTAGGCACGCGGGTTCAGTAGTTGTGGCTTGCGGGCTCTAGAGCGCAGGCTCAGTAGTTGTGGCGCACGGGCTTAGTTGCTCCGCGGCATGTGGGATCTTCCTGGACCAGGGCTCAAACCCTGTCCCCTGCACTGGCAGGCAGATTCCTAACCACTGCGCCACCAGGAAAGTCCCTGGAATAGAATTCTTAATCTTTAGGGAGATCACTGCCACCTTCACCTCTCCCAGGACTAATGCCTGTATGCACACTCAGAGACTTTGCACATAATGGTAGGAGGGTCCATGAGCCAATCAGTGTGCACCTCTAATTTTCATAGCTTGCTGGGGGTGGGGGGTGGGGCAGCTTTTGGAATCATCCAGGAGCTTTTTCAAACATCAGGATATTCTCTCCTCCCCGTTCCACTATTCAGAACCTCTGCTGGGCCTGGACAAAGTACTCCTTGTTCTTACATGATGATTCACAGTTTATGGAAGAATTTCACATACAGTATCTCATTTGCCACTTTTCCTGTTTCACAGATGAAATCAGCCCAGAGAAGTGATGGGATTTGCCCCAGGTCTCCCACCCAGCAAGTCAGCGCTAACGACGGGTGTTGGCGGACAGTGATGGTGGTTCTCACTCTTGTGTATGAAGGTAATTCTGTTGATCCGCCATCAGCTGCTGAGCGAGGCTCTGCCTTTCAGGATCTTAGGGCTTGGACCCACTGGTGTCTGAGAGGCACCTAACAATTTGTAATATTGTGTGTGTCTTGGGTGTTGGGTTTATTTGAGCAGGCAGTCTGAGTATTGCACTCAGATTGCTCTGTACCTCAATTTTGGGGGAGGGGAAACAGCATAAGAGAATGACCAACTGTAAACTGTGAGGCTCTCCTACTTTCCATTTACATCTGCCTGACTTAAAAATATTCTAGCCAACTCAATAAATCTTTACTGAGTAAAAATGGAATATTATGAAAAAACACATTAGGGCCCAAGTATTTACCTCAAAACAATGATCATCCAAAAATTAAAAAATACATTTAAATCCACCTAGAACAAATATATAAATTTATTGCAAATAGAAGTTTCATAAAATAATGCTCATTTCTGTTACACACAATGCAGATTGGTTATTTCCTATGTAATTTTTGAAATTGCTGCCTGGAACCCAAAGATTATAAGAGCAATGACCAGGGAGATTTGAAAAGCAGAGGCTTAGACCAAAACAAAGAAAATAAAACTCTTTCATACAGATACTAAATGAACACGTGTGTAAGCTTTTACTTAACTCATCAATCAAGGAAGCAGTAAGATCTTACAACCAGTTTGCAGGAGACTCCAAAAAAGATTCTGGAAGACTGTAGATTAGGAATATTGACATGAATGTGCAAATGGAGGCAAAACCAGAGAAGTTACTTACTTATCTGTATTTATTTACATGGCAAGAAAGAGAGAACGTGTCTACAGAATAGAATTATTTTACCTTGTTCCGTTATCTGTGCAGAGCTGCAGAAGTAGCTCAAAGGCAGCAACAGGCTAGAATCGTATAACCTGAAAGGCTGTGTTCTAGACAAAACCCAGTTCTCCATTGAAGCACAAATTTTCCCTATGGCTTCATAATCTCAATGAAAGATATTTTTTGCATGAAATAAGGCTGGTCCAGTAAGATTGGGCCTGATTATTTACATAGGTGCGGCAGGCATGCTAATTCACCTCGTAGGCCATCTTGAGTTTGTTTTGCTGGAAGTCTCTGTGAGGAACCTCAGATTGGATTTCTAAAAGTCTGGTATTTGTTATCCCAAGGTACTAAAGCCATGCCCAATGAGCTTTCTCCCCCAGATTTCACCTGTACTACTTAAAATTTGGACAAATTCCACTCTTCTTGAGGTCCCCAAAATATCTTAAGGTGTCTGAAACTTGTTAAATTGTTATTAAAGGATCATTTAAAAAGATGCAATCATGACTCTCCCACCGATATAAAATAAACAAATGTTAATGATTCTGTTTAATGCATTAATGAGGGAACCTGTACAATGTGACAGATTAAACGAGGTAATGTATGTGAAACACTTCATGTGTTGCCCTGCATAAAGAAAACCTCAAATCCTTATTAAGTTGGTCACTTAGCCTCTGGCCACCTAACCTCAAGGGCATCTATTCCAGTGTTTCTCAAAGCCAAGTCCATGATCCACCAGAACCAGGGTCTCAGGGGGTACTTGTTAAAAACCCAGATTCTTGAATTTTGCTCCAGACTCACCATCAGAATTTTGGATGGGAAATCCAGGCATCTGATTTTTTTTTTTTAATATCAGAGAAAGGGTTATTGCAGGGCCAAGCAAGGAGAATGGGTGGCTTGTGCTCAAAACCCCCAAACTTCCGATGATTTTCAGGGAAAAGTTTTTATAGGCAAAATTTGGGGTGAGGCTGCAGGGTATGTGATTTTCTTCTGGTTGATTGGTGGGGAGGTAACAGAGAAGGGCTCCAGGAATCCTGTGCTCTAAGCATCTGCATTTTTACCAAGTGCCCCGAGTAATTCTTATGGAGACCAGAATTACGTATACAAATAATTGAAATAAAAGCTTCATGAAAACTGTACTTAACCTCAGTATATGGGTGCACTCTTTCTGTTCTGTTTTATTTTTCAAGCGCTGCTTTTAAGCAGGTTTCTCAACCTTGACCCTGATGCTATTTTAGACCAAATCCTTCCTGGGGAGAGTGGGGGTGGGGGGCTGCCCTGGGCACTGTGGGATGTTGAGCAGCATCCTTGGCTCCCACCTACCAGATGCCAGTAGCCTGCCCCACCCCCTAGTTATGACAACCAAAAATGTCTCCTGACCTGGCCAGATGTCACCTGGTGGGCAGATCACCATGACTAAGAACCACCAGTCTTAACCTACTGCGTTGATTCCTATGGGTTGGAATCCTCAAATTGAAAAGAACCATTTTAACTTATATTAAGAGTTTAGGCCCTGAAAACAGACACAGGAGTTTTGAATGCTGACTCTGTCCTTTAGTGGCCTGGCTCTCGGTCACAGGAATCTAAGAGTGAGCCTTAGTTTCCTCCTCTGTGAATGAAACAACAGCAGGCCTAATGGATGAGGGTATTTGGGAGATAAAATGGAATAAAGCATGCAAAGCCCTCGCCTAGTGCCAGGCACCTCATTGGTATTTGGTGAACATGAAATGTGTGATCACGGTCCTTCGGACTCTTGAAGCATGTATGATCAGAAACCATCTGGGAAAACAGAAACTACCGTAAGGTTTCACTGGGAATTTCATTGCTCTCCCTGGTGGTGGAAGAGCTGAGAAGCCACATGGGAAATGGTGAGCGACCCAGGGATTAGCAGTGGTGGGATGCCACCCCCACAGCGAGGCCCGGCAGAGCAGCCAGGGTGGCAGGCGGGACCCAGCAGAGCTGGAGCAGCCACCCCAGGCAGGTCGCTTCAGGGACACCCTCCAGTCTCCCATGGTGCCTCCGGTTGGCCAGATCAGCTGGAAGCCACAGTGCTAAGCCATAACATAGCTGGTTTGTAGGGCTGATCAATGCAGCTCTGAAGGCCTGACTCTCACTACCCGTATGGTCCTGGGCCACTCGCTTCAGGCCCGAGCCTCAGTTTCCCCAGAAACAGAGCGGGGATGATGGTGAAGGGAGATTGTTGGGTCCCCATACTTGAGGTACACGTGATGTTATAGGATTTTTGTTCCTGGCTCAGGTGCCAGCTTGAGGACCAACCACATGGCTCTGGGTCAGAGAGTATCCCTTTTGTGTCCCCTCCTCTCCTCCCCCACCCTTCCACCCAGGAGGCCTATGGGTCATTTATTTTCTCTGTCAACTTCCATTGTGTCTGTAAGTTTGAAACTTGGGTTTTCAAAATCCTTTTATTTTGAGTTAATTTTAGACTTTTTTAAAAATTGCAAAAAAAAGTACAAAGAATTTTCCTATACTCATCACCCAGTCTCCCTGAATGTCAGCATCTTACCTAACATTGTGCAGTGAGCAAATCTGGGAAATCCACGTTGGTACAAAACCATTAACCTAAACTATTGACCGTATGCAAATTTCACCAGCTTTTCCCCTAATGTCCTTTTTCTTTTCTGAAATCCCATGTTGCATTTTGTCCTTGTGTCTCCTTAGTCTCCTCCAGTCTGTGACAGGCCCTCAGCCTTTCCTTGTCCAAGATGACCTTGACACTTTCAAAGTGTCCTGGTCAGTTTTGTAGAATGTCCCTCCATGTGGCTTGGGGGTGCCACATGGGGGTGTGCGTTCTGGGCAGGAATATCACAGAGGTGATGCTGTGCCCTCCTTGGTGCATCTTATCAAGGAGGTCATGGTGTTGATGTGTTTTATTACTGGTGAAGTTGACCTTGAGCACTTAAGGCTGTGTATGCGAGATTTCTCCCCTGTCAAGTCATTATCTTTCCCTTTGTGGTTAATAAATATCTTGGGGAAAAGGTCTTTGAGGCCATGCAAGGCCCACAACACAGACTGCAAGGTACTTGATTTTCACTTGTTTTTCTGTCCCATTATCTATATTACTCTTTTTTTTTTTAATTTCTTTGGATTTTATTTTATTTTAATTTTTTTTGGTGGTACACGGACCTCTCACTGCTGTGGCCTCTCCTGTTGCGGAGCACAGGCTCTGGACGCGCAGGCTCAGCGGCCATGGCTCACGGGCCCAGCCGCTCCGCAGAACATGGGATCTTCCCGGACCGGGGCATGAACCCGTGTCCCCTGCATCGGCAGGCGGACCCCCAATCACTGTGCCACCAGGGAAGCCCTGGATTTTATTTTATTATTTTATTTTATTTTTTGGCTGCACTGTGCAGCATGTGGGATCTGAGTTCCCTTACCAGGGATCAAACCCATGCCCCCCTGCATCGGAAGGGTGGAGTCTTAACCATTGGGCCATCAGGGAAGTCCCCTGTCTATATTACTCTTTATTTTCCTGTATGACACATCTTGCATAGGACTGGAATCCCTACTTTTCCTGAGAGTTATGGAGTTAAAGAAAAAAATTACCAAGCAAGGAGATGCAGCTTATCTTTAAAGTGTTTACTATTTTCCCACTGTAAAGTGTTCATGCACCTTGTAAACAATTTTGAGAAAACAAAAGAAATTTAAGGGAAAAAATTAATTGCTTTCCTTACTAGTTTTAACATTTTGAGATATTTCCTCCCAGTTATTTAAGGTTTTTTTAAAGTCACAAATACATACAATAAAGTTAGTCGATAAACAACAAATGTGACCAGACTTGAGACTTGAGTTGAGACAGAAGAAATGAAGTGGATTGAGGTCTAGAGGCAGTGTCATGGTCTAAGGAATATTTTGGTTTTTTTTTTTTAAACCTTAGCTTAGAAAACATAGTCTTCGCCGATATGTTAACTGGATTTTGCTTTCTACGTAATATATTTTGTAAATACAAACGTTTTCAGAAGTCTTCCTGAATTATTTGTCTGATATGGAAAAACTCCCAAATTCTAGTTTTTAAACGTTGTGATACATCTAATTCTACCAAGGATGCTTTACGTGCATTTCAAGGAGCAAGATTGCCATCTTGTGGTCATCTTTTGGTATTACTGAGGATTTAGATTTGTGTTCATGTTAGGGGCCTGCGTTAGGTAATGCTTTGGTCCTTCACAAGGGCTCCATCTGGT